CCCGAGTTCCACCTCGGGGCTTTGCAGGTCATCCCGAAGTGCAAGTGCGGACTGAAGAGGGACTTCCGGTTTGGTGCAATTACAGGTACTATTACTACCGTCTGTCGTGCTATCTTGTTTTTCCCTTTGTTTTTACGTTCTCACATTTCCCTTTGTTCAAGTAAAAAAAATTAAAATAAAAGAATACAAAGGGTTGAGGTTGGTCAGACCTTTTTGTTAAGGTTGTTAATTTTTTTATAAAGTTATTAGTTTTAGTTATAATTTTATTAGTTTATAATTTTTTTAAATATTTAAATAAATATTTAAATAAATATTTAAAAATATTTATTTATAAATTAATTTTAATTTATTAAATAATAAATATTAAGTATTTTATTAATTATTAATTATTTTTAATTAATAAATTAAAATAAAATTTTAAAATTTTAATAATCTTAACAAAAATAATTATAACCATATAATCATCACCGAAAACGAAAAACAAAGAAGTAGACTGCAATTTAGGGGTCATTAGCAGTTTCAAGAGCCTGATGTCACGTAGTAACCCAATCAAAGGTTGACTAGTGTTTGCCGTGCTCTCCTTGTGCCCGACTGAAGCTTTCCAATTGAACAACTGTCAAAGAATTCATTGTGGCTTTATTATTATTTTTATACATTAGATAATATCTTATATAATAACAAATAATTTTTAATTTATTTTTATTTATTTTAAAATTTAAATTTGAGAACTCTAATATAAATTTAACCATTGAGACATTTGTTGTAAATTTTAATTAAAAATTGTGACCGACAAATCTCATTATTTTCAAAATCATTTCTAGTCAGTTATGAATCAATTACTTAAAGATTTAATCAGTTATACATTTTCCGAAACAACAACAATTAAAGTCCAATTGTTTCTGTTTTTTTAAATGGTTTTAAACCTATACATTATTTCTCATTATTGCTTTAGTCTCAAATGTCAATCGGTTACTTGATTTCATTATTGTTGCATCAGTTGCAAATCTCGTTTGACACTGAAAAATTTCAATTCAAATTACAACAGTTTGTCTACTTCGGTTACAGAGGAGAGTAGTCTATAAAAAGGCAGCCTCTATTTCTACCAGAGGCTGATACAATTTTTCTAATCTGCACTCTTATTTCACAAACACTGTATACAAACTCTCTTTAGACAAGGAAAATGTGGTGGGGTAGAGCTTTCTTTACAAGAGTGCAGTACTTGTAAAGACACAACGTGGAAAGGTTGGACCGTTGGATTTAGGGGGTGGTGTGACCATTAAGAACTGCTGCACTAGTGGCATGAAACATCCTAAAAAGAGTGATTGATCCATGCCTTAGCTCAAACTCCTCATACTTTCGGTGACATCTTTCTACTTTTCATCTTCATCTTTAAATAATTGTTTTTTTGTTAATCTCTTGTCTATTTTTTTTTCTTCTATTTATTTTAAAAGGAACAACAATTTTAGGATGTTCCGAAAGAAAAATTCTTTAAAAAATGAGTTTTCCTCGTGAAAAACCTGTTAAGCACGCTAATGATCTTAACATGCCTTTTTGTTTTAACGGTGAGCATTTCAAAAGATGGAAAGTAAAAGTTTTATATTATCTTAATTTGTTAAATTTGGCATATTCCTCAATGAGGAAAATCCTATTAATAAGTCAACCAAAGGTATGAGTGCTGAGGAAAAGAAATCTCACAAGAAGAAAGTCCAAAAGTGAGAGAAAGATGAATATGGTTGTTGTAACTCTTTACTTAATTGCCTTTCTGATGAGATTTATGATTACTATGAAAGAACTTCATTACCAAGGAAACTTGGGATGCTTTGCAGAAAAAATATGACACTGAGGAGGCTGGTGCGAAGATGTATGCTAGTAGCCGATGGTTACACTTCCAAATGGTGGATGACAAGTTGGTGGTATCATGAATTCGAGAGTTGCAAATGCTTGCTCATGAGTTCCGATCTAATCAACAAGCTGTTGCCTTCATGGAAGGAGTTCCAAAAGATGATGCGTCACAAGCAAAGAGAGATCACTATGGAAAATCTATTAACTCGTATTCGAGTTGAAGAGGAGGCAAGGAATCAAGATGCTCGAACGACAAATGGAGGTAACACATCAAAGGCTATAAGCCAAATCTTAGTTATCTCAAAGCTTGGGGATGCTTGGCTTATGTAAGATTGACAAATCCAAAAAGACCAAAGTTGGGTCCAAAAGCTACGACATGTGTATTTATCGGGTACACAACTACAAGTAAGGCATATAGGTTCCTTAATCTTGATTCTAATGTTGCTATTGAATCTGTAGATGCTATATTTCATGAAAATAAATTTCCTTTTAAACTTAAGAAAAATTGAAGTCATGATTTTACAAAGCAAAATGATTTTGAACCTAGTTCCTCAATTTCATCTCATTTTCAAAACCAAGAGAACATGGATTTTGAACCTAGGAGAAGTAAAAGAACACGTAAAGAAAGAGATTTTGGTTTAGATTATTAAGTATATAATGTAGATGGGGAACCATTGTCTTTTCAAGAAGCTTTAACTTCTTCTGATTTTGATTTTTGGAAAGAAGCTATTAATGATGAAATGGATTCTTTGATTTATAATAAAACTTGGAAGTTGGTAGATTTACCTCCTAGTTGTAAAACAACAGGATGTAAATGGGTTTTGAGGAAAAAACTTAAACCGGATGGAACTATAGATAAATATAAAGCAAGACTTGTTGCAAAAGGTTTCAAACAAAAGGAGGAACTAGACTTTTTTGATACTTTTTCACCTGTAACAAGAGTGACTTCCATTAGAGTACTTATAGCTGTAGCCACCATTCATAACATGCTCATCCATCAAATGGATGTTAAAATGGCATTTTTAAATGGAGACTTGCATGAAGAAATTTACATGGATCAACCTGAAGGTTTTTTTATGCCTAGCCAAGAAGACAAGGTATGTAAATTGACTAAATCTCTTTATGGTTTGAAACAAGCTCCAAAACAATGGCATGAGAAATTTGATACTTGCTTGATAGAAAATGATTTTAAATCAAGTGAAAGTGATAAATGCATATATTTTGGATTTTTCAATAATTGTCATGTTATTATATGTTTGTATGTTGATGATCTCTTGATTTTTGGTTCAAGTTTAGAGGTGATTAACACTACTAAGTCATTGTTAAATAAGCATTTTGACATGAAGGATTTGGGTGTGGCTAATGTGATTCTCGGCATGAAAATAACTATAAATTATGATGGAATCTTTCTTGATCAATGCCATTATATAGAAAAAAATTTTGAAGAAATATAACTATCATAATTCTAGACATGTTATGATGCCTTTATCATCCAATGTGCACTTGTATCCCACTTTACATGATAGAGATATTCTCAATCAAAAGGAATATGCTAGTAGCATTGGTAGTTTACGATATCTTACTAATTGCACTAGACTTGATATTTCTTATGCAGTTGAAATGTTAGGGAGATTTACTAGCAAGCCTAATTTCTTTCATTGGGATTGTGTTAAACACTTAATGAGATATTTATGTGCTACCAAAAATTATGGCTTATTTTATCAAAAATACCCTGTTATACTTGAAGGATTTTGTGATGCTGATTGGAACACCTCGTTAGGTGATTCTTTATCTGTTTCAAGGTATATTTTTAAGATGGGCGATGGTGCTATGAGTTGGAAATCTAAAAAACAATCATTCACTATGATAGTACTGCTACCATTTATAAGGTCAATAACCGTTTTTATAACAGTAAATCCAGATCTATTCGAAGGAAACATAGTATTGTGACGTCCTACTTGGTTAATAGGACAATCCACATGGATTATATACAATCAATTGAAAATATTGCTAATCCATTTACAAAAGCTCTAGCCAGAGAGAAGATTTGGATTGCATCGAGGGGAATGGGATTAAAGCCCAAAGAATGTGGAACTTCCTATGAGGATACCTAATCCAATTCTTGAGAATTTGGGTTTTTAATGGAAAAAACGAATCATAGAGAGGTCGTTGTTGGCATAAAAAAAAATCTTATCCCATTCCTAAGGTGTAGATGCATCTATCACATAACGTATGTGAGGGTTGAGTATTATACACTCTTAATCAAATTTGTAGCTCATTAAGTGGGGTGTTTTAGTTATGGGAGCATCCTTGACAAATTTTACCTATATGGATGTCGGAGTGAGGCCACTCCTATGAGAATAGGGCTATTCTCTAAATCATCCATGAATATTAGGATTAGGCACAAAGGCCATAATGTGCCGGCTTACACGCTCAAAGTAACACCTGAATTATTATGTGTGTGATATGGTCTCTTATATCCTCTAAGTAGTCCTAGTTCAAGATTTTACTCATTAATGACTTTGGGTTAGGAATCATTAACTCACTAAATAAAGGTTCAAGGCATTGCTACGTCTATTATGCATGGTAATTCATCCTTGCCTATATATATTTCATCCTCTAAATTTCTTTTATTTTTAATTAAAATGGAGGGGGAATGTTGTAAATTTTAATTAAAATTTGTAACCAACAAATCTCATTATTTTCAAAATCATTTCTAGTTGGTTATGAATGTGTTACTTAAAGATTTAATCTCAAGAGTTACACATTTTTCGCAGTTACAAATCCAATTGTTTCTGTTTTTTTTTTTAAATGGTTTTAAACCTATACATTATTTCTCATTAGGTTAAATGCTAATTTTGGTCCCTCAACTTTATAGAGTTGCACATTTTTGGTCCCTCAACAAAATTTTGCACTTTTTTGATCCTCTAACTCTAAAAACTACACAATTTTAATCATTCCGTTAGTTAAGTGACACCTTGCAGTTAAATATTCCAGAATAGCACTTTTTAATGATGTGGCAATGACAACTCATACAATTAGCTTAAGTGGAGTATGCCAAGTCAGACTTAATTGTTCTTCTTAATTTTTTTCAATTCTTTAAATATAAAATTACTAAAATGCCCTTAATTTTCTTCTTGCCATCGTTCTCCTCTGTGCACTCTTTGTTCTCCTTCCCAGCACTACTGTTTCCAGCCATTTTTCCTTTGATTGTCACTGTTTCTCTTCTCCCCTCCCCTCATCCCCTTCTTGGCCATGACTAGGTTCATGAGGAACCCAAAGACAATCTAGGTTCGTCACGAACCTAGTTTTGGGTTCGTCATGAACTTAGAAGGGTTCATCACGAACCCAAATGATTTGGGTTTGCCTCCTTCATCCTCTTTCATTCAGTACTCCACAATTAAAAGTAACATAAAATTTCAGAAGAAATGCCGCTATTTCTTCCATAAATCTACTTTACCTTATTTCTATCCTCTACAAAAAGCATGTGTGAATCACCATGAATGAGAGAGTTAGCATACATTTTCCTATAGAAACAAGGAATTAATAATGAACATTGTGGTGAATCTGAAGGTTTGAAAAGCGATAAGAAAACAAACCTAAATGAATTTGCCAATAAGAGGAAATGTGCTAAGGGCAACATAGCTCTCAAATTCTCGAGCTACATACTGTTGTACTCCTTCAGCTAATGTAGATGAAGACAACCTGGAAAACAATAAAATTTGACCAATCACATGACACAATTTAGGGGTTTGTGAAGAAAATATGAAGTTCCAAACATCAAGATGACAAATCACGTTTACCTGAGATATTGTCCTGCTTCAAACTGGACTCTAACATAAATATATTCAAAAAATTTTACATAATCTATGGCAATAAAGAAATGGATTAGCGATGAACCCAAAAGAGACCTAGGTTCACGACGAACCCAGATCGTCTCTAGGATCCTCATGAACCCAGTCATGGCCAAGCTGATGAGGGGGAAGGGGACAAGGGGGAAAGGGAGGAAAAATGGCTGGAAATGGTGGCAGTGGCAAGGTGAACAGAGAAAGCACAGAGGAGAACCATGGCAAGAAGAATAAATTAAGGGCATTTTAGTAATTTAATATTTAAAGAATTGAAAAAAATTTTAAAAAACAATTAAGTCTGACTTGGCATACTCCACCTAAGCTAATTGTATGAGTTGCCATTGCCACATCATTAAAAAGTGCCATTCTGAAATATTTAACTGACAGAAGGATTAAAATTGTGCAGTTTTTAGAGTTAGGGGATCAAAAAAGTGCAAAAATATGTTGAAGGACCAAAAATGTGCATTTTGTAAAGTTGAGGGACTAAATTTAGCATTTAACCTTCTCATTATTGCTTTAGTCTCAAATGTCAGTCGGTTACTTGATTTCATTATTGTTGCATCAGTTACAAATCTCGTTTGACACCGAAAAATTTCAATTCAAATTACAACAATTTGTCTACTTCGGTTACATAGGAGAGTAGTCTATAAAAAGCCAGACTCTATTTCTACGAGAGGCTGATACAATTTTTCTAATCTGTACTATTATTTCACAAACACTGTATACAAACTCTCTTTGGACAAGGAAAAGGTGGTGGGGTAGAGTTTTTTTTACAAGAGTGCAATACTTGTAAAGACACAACGTGGAAAGGTTGGGCTATTGTATCCTGGGGGTGGGGTGACCATTAAGAACTGCTACACCAATGGCACAAAACGTCCTAAAGAAAGTGATTGATCCACGTCTTAGGTCAAACTCCTCATACTTTCGATGACATCTTTCTACTTTTCATCTTCATCTTTAAATAATTGTTTTTTTGTTAATCTCTTGTCTATTTTTTTTTTCTTCCATTTATTTTACAAGGAACAACAACATCTACTAAATAACCATTGTGGCCTTATATTTGTATTGTAGCATTTACATTTTTTGCATTTCCCAGGAGACAATCTTTGAGCATAAAAGTGAAAATGATGGGAAAAAAAAAAGTTGAAAACTAAGAATGACTTTACTAATTAAGCTAATAGTGATGTGTGAATGTTCTGTCAAGAAATTTTTGTCGTTCTGCCTTGTTGTTTCCTATTGTATTGAGTCAGAATTTTTTTTAAAGTAATTCTTACGGATTGCTTTATTTTGACTTGAATAGTCTTTGCAAGCTTATTCAACCATTGTAGCCTGGTTGAATGCAATAGAATGACCTCAAGTCTTCTCCTTTATGTTAGTTATTATTGTTATTGCTTAGACCTTTCAGATTACGTGTCAACCTTTCTAGTTTCTAGTTCCTAGTTCCAGTCATCTTGTGGACAGAACACTTTTATTAAGTACTAGGCATACAGCCACACATTTTTCAGATTCTTTAATCTTGACTTGAACAATCTTTGCAAATTGGTCCAACCACTGTTGCTGGCCGTGATGAGTCATTATAGTGACATTATTACTTAATTGTACGTTAACAAATTATTAATTGCAAACATATATTTTTTTTGAAAGGCAAAATGAAATTTTTACAAATAAAGTACAAGAAATACTTACACATATATAATATTATTTGTGTATCATTATAGGCGTTGTAAACAGGGGTCTCGCATAATTTGTTAACCGGTGCAGAAATGGAATGAACGACTGGTGAGCATGTATGTCAAATTGTTCAGTAAGCGTGGTTATAAAGAAAGGTGGTTGAGAATTATACTTCTCTAAATGGTGATTTCATGTCAGGAAACAATGGAGTTTGAACTCTATGATCCAAAATCATAGAGTTCGCCGTAGAAAAGGGTCCACAATCTTACAGACGGTAACCGAAGGTTTTATTGTACTATCTTTATTTCAATTTACTCGTCATTTTTTTTGCTTGATAATATTATATATAACTAAAATTCATAAAAACACAATTTGCGGAGTAATTCTTTGATTTTAGATGAAGGATTTCATCAACAAGGAAAGTTCGGAAGTGTGACAATAGTAAATTTTAACTGGGTGAAAATTAGCAAAGAAAAAGAGAATTTATTATTTAATTTAAAATAAAAGTTAATAAATAAATTGAAACATCTCTGTTTGGAAAGTGGGTGATAAATAAAATGTTAAAAATTAATTTCTCTTTTCTCTCGACAGATTCTTCGAGCATTAACATAAAAGTGAAAATGATGAAAAAAAATGTTAAAAAAATTAAGAATGACATAAGTAACAGACGCGGACATACATTGAGGATTCAAGAAATATTGGATGTGATGCCCCACTTGGTTCTATTAAGGAAACACGTAATGCTGCAACATCAATCATGGCTCAATCAAATATAAGGGATGTCAAGTCTTAATTATTCTCACAATCAATTTTACCAATCATATATTTTGCATTAATAAGAATGATTTGTATTATGTATATTTCTATTTTTACAAGCTCTTTCCATAAGGGTTAATTAGGGCAACATCTCAACTTGTATATATTAGTAACCTCAAGGAATAATAAAATTGTCTTTCACTCTCAGACTCTTCTTTCACCTCATCAGTGGTATCAGAGCATTCTCTCAAACGAGCTCTACCTATGGCCAATGAATCCTCTACAACCATCACCTCTCCTATTTTCACCAATGCTGCCATTCCTATTGGACAAAATACCAATATCACTTTCAATGTTGTTGCTCATTTTCCTCTCAAACTTACTAACAACTATCCATCTTGGTGGGCACAATTCCTATCTATTCTTACTGTCTACAAATTAACTAGCTTTCTCAATGGATCCAAACCTTGCCCACCAACACCAACTAGAGAGGTTCCTGACTCTCCCTATGAACTTTGGATTCGCTAGGATCGGTCAATTTGGCATGCTATTCTCACGAGTCACGTTGGTTTCAGAACCGATTGCTCCCTACATATCTACGGTCGAGACCGCACAACAAGCATGGAGAATCTTGGCCAATCTCTATGCGAACCACTCAAGATCCAGGATGTTTACACTCAAGGAGCGCCTCCAAAATACTCGTCCAGATGGGTGCACCATCACCGAATTTCTCCATCAACTCAAGGTGCTTGCTGATGAACTTGCTGCAATAGACAAACCCCTCACCAACGATGATCTAACGGTATATGTCCTCAATGGGATTGGACCTAAATTTCGTGAGATCTCTACTTCACTACGCGCTCAAGATGAGCCACTTTCTTTTGAAGAACTTCATGACAGATTAGTTGCACATGAAGAAAGTATGCATAGGGAAGAAGGTCGAATTGAAAACACACTAGTGACTGCCCACTTTGCTGCCATGCCCACTAGAAAGCTTGCTGGTAATAATCCTAATTTTGCCACAAATTATGGTTTCTCAAATGCTTCTTTTTAGTCCAATGGTGCAGGAATTTTACCACTACCACAAAATATACAACCATTTGGATCAGGCCAACAATTGGCAGGAGGAAGAGGAAATGGGCATAATAGGCCAAATCAATTTAATAAAAAAAAGAGGAGGCCCACCAGCCCAACATATCTTGTCAACTTTGAAACAATTTTGGGCACACTACTCGTACTTGTTCACTGTTTCGAAATCAAGGCCAAGGAACCACAGCTTATTATGCAGCATCTACGGGTCTAAACACTAGAGGGTGGTTGATTGATTCAGGTGCTAATAATCGTATCACCACTGATCTGTCCAACTTGGCACTACACTCAAAATATAATGGCCTTGATGAACTACTAATTGGAGATGGCTCAGGTTTTAAAATCACTCATGTTGGCCATACAACTCTCACAACACCCACCTCATCTATTCCTTTAAATAATGTTTTATGTGTACCTACAACCTCTTGCAATCTTATTTCTGTTTCTCAGTTATGCAAAACTACAAATTCTATTGTTGAATTTCATCTTAATTTTTTCTTGGTGAAGGATCGCAACACAGGGGCGATACTACTGCGAAGGCAAAACCAACATGGGATGTACCAAGTTCCTCAAATGAGCCCCAACAGACAACTACCCATGGCACATCTTGGGGAAAAGACATCGGGAATAAATTGGCATGCAAGGCTGGGACACCCATCATCTAAGATATTCCAAAAAATTCTCAGTGTTATCAATCTGCCATTAATAAATAAATCTGATGGGTTTTATTGTAATTCTTGTTCCTGTTCTAAAAGTCACAAACTCTCGTTCTCCAAATTCTCTATTACTAGCCATGCTCCTCTTGAGTATATTTTTTTTGAGGTTTTGGGTCTCGCACCTACCATTTCTATTGATGGGTGTAGGTACTTTATTATCTTTGTAGATCACTACAGTCGTTATGTTTGGTTATATCCAATCCAAAAAAATCAGATGTCTCAATCATCTTCCCAAAATTTAAGTCTCTAGTTGAAAATCAATTTAGACGTAAAATAATTAATTTTTACTCTGATGGAGGTGGAGAATATATTTCTCTTCGAAATTATTTTCAAAAAAATGATATTTCTCATTTTATCACTCCACCTTATATTCCAGAAATAAATGGCTTTTGTGAAAGACGCAACAGAACCATTATTGAGATTGGTCTAGCCTTACTTCATTATGGCTCAGTACCCACTCAATTCTTGTCACATGCTTTTCAAACTGAAGTATACTTATTTAATCGCTTACCCACACCTGTCTTGTCTTTTATATCCTCCTTTCAAAAACTCTTCTCTATTTCTCCAAATTATTTAAAAGGTTAAACCCCCATTTTGGTCCCTCAACTATCGTACGAACCCCCGACTTAGTCCCTCAACTCAAAAAATCTCTGATTTGGTCCCTACTGTTTACCATTTTGACCCCAATTTAGTCCCTCTGTTAAAAATCCAGTGCCAATTTAGTCCCTCTGTTAAAAATCCAGTGACATGTCCCGTTAATTAACTGGAGAATGATGATGTGTCCAAATAACTTCACACATCAGATGCATACTTGAAAAAAAGGACAACACGACAAAAAAAAAATAATGACATGGAAAAAAAAAATATAAAAAACTTAAAAAAATTT